TGTGTGTACGTGTTGTGTGTGTGTGTGTTTATGTGTGTATGTGTTGTGTGTGTGTGTTTATGTGTGTATGTGTGTGTGTGTATGTGTGTGTGTGTGTGTATGTGTATGTGTGTGTGTGTGCATGTGTGTGTGTGTGTGTGTGTGTGTGCGCTCGGGGAAGTCAGAAGACAAATTGTGGTCGTCAGTTTCCCTATCATGTGGGTCCCAATGACAAACACACAGGCTGAGCAGCAGGCACCTTTCCCAGATACTTCACGTCACTACCCATGTGACACACAAGATTTCACGCTAGTGACCTGTGGCCCCTGAAAAATAAGGCTCTCCAACCCTGGCTACAGATCCCACATGGGCTGGAGCCACTGGGACTCATTACCGCTGGCGTGATCTAGACTTCCCCTTGTCTCTTAATTCAAGACGTGACCAGAGGCGGGCTGTAGTGCTCTTTATTCATGAGACCCATGGGGCCACACGGCCACCATGGTGTCTCTGCCCACAGCCAGGGGCCTAGACACCAGGCCAGTGCAAAGAGTGAGCCCTCGAGGTACGGCGTGAAGTGTCCCTGGAGTTGGCCCACGGGCTTCCTGTTCCCAAGAGCGCATCGGTGGTGAGGCAGCTGCGGGTATAGTGTCCCCTCCACGTGGCCTGGACCATCTTGGCTGCGGACTGCTGCTGGCTGATCTGGCGGCGGGTCCTGTAGCCCTTCCAGGCTGCCTGGATGAGGGTGGCTGCTCTGTGCTGCTGGCCGAGCAGGGGATGCTGCCGGGGCACCGGTGCGGCCCAACGAGAGCCGGACTGGACTGAGACGCCCTGGCCAAAGCCTTGCACCACGCGAGTAGACAGTGTGTGGCCACACACGTGGCAGGTGCGTGGCTGGGACCCCACGAGCATCACGACACTGGGCGGACTCTCTGCCCGGGGACCCAGGGCCTGGCAGAGGCTGCAGACATCGGGCTGACAGGACAGGAAGCAGCGGTGCTCCGAGCTGGTCCTGGTGTCAGAGCTCCCCTGGGCTCTGCCACTGTGCCCCGGCCACATGGTGGGGAGCAACACCTGGTGGGCCCGGGCCCGGCGAGTGCAGTAGCCACGCCAGGCAGCCTGGATGATGGTGGTGGCCCTGAGCAGCCTGGCCAGGTTCCGGCGCACACGGTAGCCACGCCATGTCGCTTGGATGATGGTGGCCCACTGATGCCACACCTTCACAGTGCGACGCACCAGATAACCACGTGCACACGCCTGGATGGTGATGACGGCCTGGACGACAACTTTCTCCATGGCACGCACTGACACCAGCAGCTCAGCCGAGGGCTTGTGGTCCAGCGCTGCCTCCGCCCCCGAGGGCTCCCAGGGCCTGTGGCCCCTGCTGGGATGCCATGTGCCTCGGGGTGCCCCAGCATGTGCTGTGGCTCTGACCGATACGTTGGGTACTTTGGAATTCCATGACTGGCCGGCAGCCGGGCCGGCATCCACAGGGCCCTGGGGTACAGTGGGGGGTGGGGATATCTCATTATGGCCAGTTTCAGGGTGTGTAACATGGTGGGGTGTGGTGGGCACCTGGGAACTCCCATCAAGGCTTGGTTTAGGCACTGTGATATATTGAAGCCTGTGGCCATAAAGCACAGTGGGGACCCTCTGGGGACCCTCATCGAAACTCGTTTTGGGAGCTGTGACATGCGGATGTTGGTGGCTGGGAGGTGCAGTGGGGATCTGGGAGCTCCCGTCATAGCCAGGGCTGGTGACACACTGAGCATTTTGGTCATGGGTTGTGGTGGGGACCAGGAAACCTCCATCATAGCTGACTCCAGGCCCTGCGACCCAAGGCGGCCTCTGGCCGGGGTGTGTGGTGAGGGTCAGCACTGTTCTTGGCTGGCCAGTGTGTCTGGTGTCGTGGGCAGCCTCACCAAGAAGGGGTGTCTGGGAGCCATCTGGTGATGACTGACGGGCCAGAGACACCCCTTGAACTCCTGAGGCTGTTTTCTGACCCCTCCCATCTCCCAAGTGGATGATGGGAGTGGTGCCCACCATGGGTGTACCTGAGGACATGTGACCGTCCGATGAGCCCTGAGATTTCTTCTTCAGTGGACTACTGAAGGGGAGCAGTCTGTCCATGGAACCTTCTAGAAGTTCCGAGACAAGGCTGCCATGAATGGAGCGGTAGGAATTTTTAGCAGTGAGGGGTTCTCGGTGGTTACTCTTGGTGTGGTTCTGAGGTTCTCCCATCTGGGAGAAACTGGGAGCCCTATTTTTAGTTAGAGGTGCTGAATCAGTCCCCCCTGAGCTCTGGAGAATGCTGGGGTTTCCTGTGCTGACCTCTGACCCTGGAGGCAGCCTGGCTGTCCCCTCAGTGTTGGGACTCGGCTGTGGTGGGCCCATGATGGCATTAGAGACTGGAGGTTGGCTTGAACGGTCGGCCACAGGGGCCTCCCGCAGGCTCGGGGTCCCGGAAGCAGGGCTTTCTGGGGGTAAGGGCTGAACGGGGCTGGTGCTGTGGGCGGTGGAGTGCTCACCCGGAACTGGGGCCTGTACAGGGACAAGGGTGACACCTCTGCCTCGCCCGGAAGCTGCCTCTGCCACCAAGGCCACTTGGTCTTTGAGAATATTCTCAGCTGCCAGGGTCTCACGTTCATGGCACTCACCTCCCGTGGCACCGAGGCCCGTCCACGAGGTGATTTCGAGACCTTCAGATCTGACAGGGTCTATACCAGGCTCCCTTGTTGAGGAGGACACTGTGCTGTGGATTTGTCTCGGCTTCAGCAAGGTCGGGTTATCAACACCGACAAGCTTTGTCAGCCCAGGGTCTGAACTAAACTGTGAGGTTCCTGACAAAACTGTGGGCAAACCTTGCTGGTCCTGGGACACTCTCTGGACTGCTGGGGCTGGTGAGTGGGCACTGGCCAGGCTGGTGACATGGGGTGCCAGGAAGGAGACCCGGGAGTGCTCCCCAGACTGTGCTGCGTGATAGGGACGTGGACTGATTCCTACCAGCAAGGACCCTGGAGCCACGCCACTTGCCATAGCACCCAGAGGCATGCCAGGAACCGTCCCGCTGGCCACAAAACCCAGGCGTGGGCCCCGGGAATGGGAGCTCGGCAAGGATTCCACAGCTGGACCCAGCTTCTCCCTCCTACCATCCATCTCTCGAGGGAGACAGGGGGCCACACCGCCGGCCACAGAACATGGAGGGAGCCTGAGGGCCATGTCACTGGCCACAGAATCTTGGTGGGAGCTCTGAACCTCACCACTAACCACTGATTCTGGAGGTAGGTTCTGGGCCTTGACACCTACCATGGACTCTGGGGGGACACTCTTGGACACACCATCCACCATGGACTCTGGGGGGAAACTCTGGGCCACACCATCCACTATGAACTCTGGGGGGACACTCTGGGCCACACCATCCACTATGAACTCTGGGGGGAAACTCTGGGCCTTGCCATCCACCATAGACTCTGGGGGGACACTCTGGGTCACACCATCCACTATGAACTCTGGGGGAAAACTCTTGGCCTTGCCATCCACAATGGACTCTGGGGGGACACTCGGGGCCACAACATCTACAATGGACTCTGGGGGGACACTCTGGGCCACGACATCTACTATGGACTCTGGGGGGACACTCTGGGCCTTGCCATCCACCATGGGCTCTGGGGGGACACTCTGGACCACGCCATCCACCATGGACTCTGGGGGGACACTCTGGACCACGCCATCCACCATGGGCTCTGGGTGGACACTCTTGACCATGCCATCCACCATGGACTCTGGGGGGACACTCTGGACCACGCCATCCACCATGGACTCTGGGCGGACACTCTGGACCACGCCATCCACCATGGACTCTGGGGGGACACTCTTTCCTACGCCCCTGATCACAGAGCCTTGAAAAAGGTTGAGATTCTCGATTTCAGCCCCAGGCTTGGGGACCCCTGCCGTGGGCACTTCTCTGTTCATAGAATCCTGGGCCAAACCCCCACCTACAGCACCCAATGCTGTGTCTGGAATGACCATACCCGCATATCGGCAGCTGGGTGGGACCATAGTGGCCATAGAGAGGAGCTGGGGGTCTAACGTGACAGGAAGAGAGGCACAGGTCTGAGGGAAGCTGGTACCCAGCTGGTTTGGGAAGAGCTCAGACGGGACCTCCATGTTGGGCATCACAGCTGGGCATGGGCCCTGGGCCACACCTGTAGTCACAGCAGCCTGTTCGTGAGTCCAGGGGGCATCCACTGGCAAGGCCCAGGCAGCCATGGGGGGTGGACTGTCCCCCTGGCACACACTTAGAAACAGTCTAGTAGCCACGGGCCCCGGGCACACCCCTGGGGCTATGCCCCTGAACCACGTCTGACATGGGACATTGGCCCCCAAGATCAGGCCACCATCTTCTGCAGGTGCCATGGACTGAGCTACGGGACCTGGGGGCCCCTTGTTGACCTGTGTCAGCTCGGAGTAGACCGTGGGATCCTGAGGGCTGGGCTGGCTCCTGGTACCTGTCATGAGTCTGTCCCCTGGGCTGCCACAGACTCCTAGGGACGGCTGGCCTGGCCTAGTCATAGCACATGGACAGGACCCAGCTAGGTTGAGCATGGAGGGCCGGCTCTGAGCTGTGCTGCTGTCCGCGCGTGGCTGCTGCTGTGGGTCAACGGCTGGCCGGCTGCTCCCTCGACCCACACCACACACCACCGTGGGTGGCAACAGGCCGAGGGGGCCCAAGCTGGCCACAGATGCCTGGGCAAGATCAGAGCAGACCCTGGGAGCCAGAAGTGGGGGTCTCAGGCTGGGGGACACCCTGTTGGTCAGGGGCACCTGGAACACTCCAGGGACCACAGCATTGGCTGGGGTTGGCTGACCGAGGCTTGGGGGTGCCCTGTTGGCCACAGATGCATGGGCCAGAGTTGGGGACATGACACTGACCACAACAGGCTGGGCTAGGCTTGGCGAAATGCTGAAGGACATGGGCGGCTGCACCAAGTTTGAGGTTACAATCGTGGCCACACAAGGCTGGGTGAGATTTGACGGCAGGCTGCAGGGCACAAATGGCTGGAAAAAGTTTGGGGACACCCCAGTGGCTACAGATGTCTGAACTGAGTCTGGACGCCCTGTACCGTGTTGGAGCATAGGAGAGGAGCCGGCTGGTGGCCAGCTGATCACAGGTGGCTGAGTGGCCCTTGGGGACACGTGGGTCATGGCACACAGCTGGGGTTGGCTTGAGGCTAACCCAGGGCTCACCGGCTGCTTGCTGAAGGCCACCACATTAGCACCAGAGGTCTGGGTTAAGTTTGAGGGGACCCCGGAGGCCATGTGTGGCTGGGTATAGATTGGGGACCCTCTGTAGTACAGAAATGGCTGACTAAAAGTTGTAGGTAACCCATAATACATCAATGGTTCCATCAGTTTTGGGGATACCCCAGTATCCAGAGATGGCTGGGCTAAATTTGGGAACACCCTAGTGGCCACAGATGGATGGGCCAGGCTTGGGGCCACCCCAGTGTCCATGGATGGCTGGGTCAGGCTTGGGGACACAGTACTGGATCCTGCAGGCTGAGATGGGATTGGACACAGCCCTGTGGCCTCTAATGGCTGACTTAGGCATGGCGATACCTCACTGGCTTTAGGTGCCTGGCCAGGGCCTGGGGCTTTCCCATCAGGCAGTATGTCCTGGGGTGGGGTAGGACCCAGCTGAGTGGCCCCCCTTAGCTGCAGGTCTCGAGCATGGATCTGATGGCTCCTCCCATGCCAGGGTGCAGTGGTGTCCTGGGACAGCCCCTCTGTGGGGTCTCCAGTACTGTAGTCAGACCCACTCTCTGAGTCCCAGTGGACATCCAGGGCCATGCTGGTGCTGTGGATGAGGAGGGGCCCAAGATCCAGGGGTGGCCTTTGAGACTGGGGGGCCGTGTGCTGAGAACCAGCTAACCCTGTTCTTTCCAGTGGCCCCTGGGGCCTGTGCCTCACCTCCCTGGACCTTCTCAACACTGGCTGGGAGTCCCGCACGTCACCTTCCCGGGAACCATCCAGAAGTTCTGAAGGCGTCAGGCTGGAACAACCATCCAGAAGTTCTGAAGGCGTCAGGCTGGATGGTGTGGAGGCGCTGGCCGAGGTGCCGCTCTGCAGAGAGCTGTGAGAGCCCCCGTCCTGGCTGTGGACAACTGAGCCCCGGGGGTAGCTCTTGGCTAACACGATCTTAGGGTGTTGCGGGAATGCAGCTAGTAACTCATCCAGAAGGGACATGTGGCGGCCCGCGGCCTGCCCCTGGGGACGGGAGGGGGTCAAGGACACTTGGGGATGCCTCTCCTGTTTGGGGGTGGAGGTGCTGGAGCCCTTCTGCACCTTGGGATGTAGGTACACCGATGATGCCTGGCCACTGTGGTGGTCATCTACTACATTCCTCACTACGGTGACTATTTCCTTGTCGGACAGTCTGTGACCCAGCGACAGGACCCGCCTAACCTTCTGCTTCGGTGATGGACTTCGACCCTTGACTATGGCAGAGCAATGGCCACAGGGAGACACCTTGTGTGCCCCCGGGCTCGGACACTGGCACACGCCGCCCTGGCAGGCGGTGGGTTGCTGGGACATCGGGTACCTCCCACTGCCCACGCCACTCGAGGGCTTGCTGGCCTCCAGGTTGCCCTCTCGGTATGACGCCCATGGGTGGGGCACCCTGCTGGCCAGGGGTTGCTGGCGGGAACTCGGGGCTGTGCTGCCGGTCACCGATGGCTGGTTACTGCTTGGGCCCGCGCCGTTGGCAACTAGGGGCTGCCACGGACAAGGAGGAGGCTGTTGGGAAGATCGCTTGGGGACATGGGGACCCTCACCACATGCCATGGGGTCAAAATCCAGTGGCTTCGGGTACAGCCCAGAACAGAGTCCCGAACCCCTCTCCCAGGACAGTGTGGGTACTATGAGCAGGGGACACTGGTAAGCGCTGGTAACGACCCCTCCAGAGAAGGAGCCCACGGAGGACTCTGGCGAGCAGGGTGACCCCTCCAAGGTGGCCCCGTCCCCTTTGCCCCACAGGATCCCATGGGGCTGTCCCCAGGGCAAGCCCTCCCATGGTAGCCTGACCTTGCTACACCGTGCTCGTACGGGACCCAGCGCCGGTCCCCACGCCACCGACAGGCTCCCGCTGCAAGTCACCTCCACTGGGGCAGGTGCCGTGGTCATCCGGCTCCCCACCATTTTCGAGGTGGCCTTGGGGAGGAAGGCACCTGTTCTCTGGGCCATCTGGGCCAAGGACTGAGTGAAAACAGCGCCCAGCTCACCCTGGCACAGAGCCTGGCTGAGCGTGGTCCTCTCGTCTTCTGTCAGGGCCTTGCACAGGACCTCAGCCAGCTTGCCCTGCGTGGCTTTGCTGAGTTCCGGACGCAGCTCACCACGGGACAGGGCCCGGGACAGGGTGATGCCCAGTTCACCCCAAGACAACGCCTTCATCAGTGCCATTCCCAGCATGCCTTGAGGCAGGGCCTTGACCACAGAGGGCCCTAGTACTTCCCGGGACAGAGCCTGGCTCAGTGCCGTCCTTACTTCCCCCTGAGAAAGTGTCTTGGCCAGGAGTGTCCGCAGGTCCTCAGGGGAGCCCAGCATGGCCACCAGGTCTGCGCACAGGGATGCAATGGACGCTGCCAGGTCTTCATGGCAGGGCACTGCCTGGCTGGGCACAGGGGGTGGCGGTGAGCTCTGTGCCTGTCCACTGTCACCCCAGGATTCTGCATTGCATACAGGGTGTCCAGTGGGAGTCAGCAGAGGCACCAGCATGCCTTGGATATCTGTGGCCACTGAGCGTGGGTTCTGCGTGGCCTTGTTTTGTGCATGGCTATGGAGCTGGGGCTGGGCCGCGTTCCTGTCGTCTGGCTTGGCACGGGACCCGGTGTTAAGTGTCCCAAAATGTTGCCAGAACTGGACAGGTGTCTTGGTCGTGCCAAGGAGTGGCTGCGACAGGGTCTTGCTGCTGAGGTCGGCGGCAGGGTGGGCGGCCAGGAGGCACTTGGCCGTGTCGGGGGCCAGCTGGGCCTGAGGCTGGGTCTTCGCCAGCCCCATGGGCAGATGGGCCTGGGATGGGACCTTGGCCAGGCATGTGATGAGATGGGCCAGGGATGGGGCCTTGCTGAGTTTAGTGGGTGGGCAGACCTGGCACGTGGCCTTGGTGGGTTTGGTGCTCGTGGTCTTTGAATGCTCAGCAGGTAGACGCAGCTGCGGTGAGCTTTTGGTCGGGTGAGAGGCCACGTGGTGCTGGGAAGCGGGGGTGAGTGGACATGTGTTTGGGTATCCTTCGGGAGGGACAAAGGTCATCCCCGGGGCGCGTGCTTTCGGGGAGGCTGTGGCTGAACATGACGCAGCCGGATGAGCTCTTGGCACAGATCTGGTCTGTTCGCTAGCAGGCTGGAGCTGGGCTGTGAGTGCCATCAGGTGTGCGGCCAGTGGCGAGGAGGACAGGGTGGCAGAGGGACCGATAGGTGGCCGTCGTCCCTCAGGTAGGCCCGTGGCCAGCCCAGATGTCGGGTGAGACTGTGACACAGCCTTAGAGACAGGTGACGGTGGCGGGACTCGGGGATGGCTAGCGGGTGGCTGCACTTGAGAGGCGGCCTTGGTCAGGGGCACAGCCAGCTGGGCCTGGGACAGGGTCACAGTCATCTCTTCAGGCATGTACACCTTGGAGCAGACCTTCACCACCTCCGCCTTCTGCTGGATCTGAATCAGGGGCTTGCTCCTGTCTTCTGTCACTTTTGTCCACGACAGAGCCCTGGTGATAATGGTCTTGGGAGCTGCTTCCTTCTTGGGCGCCCTCGGGGGCCCAGGCTTCAACTTTTCTGCTTCCAATGGAGACTTGGCTGGAAGTTTAGGAGCCACACTGTCTAGATGTCCGTGGGGTCCACACTTGCCCTTCTCCTCACCCAAGTATGACTGAGAGGCCACCTTGACGACCGTGGTGGTCTGCTTGGTGCTCACGGCGACCTTGGCGTTTGGGCTGTTCAGGTGGACCTGGGATGGGGTGTTGGGAATGCCAGCAACCACTGGAGTTTGGGGTGAACCCCTGGGACCTGAGGCTGCCACTGTGGGGACCAGACACAGGGTCCTGAGCACAGCAGCCACAGAACGTATCTGAGCTGGAGTCTTGGTTATCATCGCGGCCAGGCGAGTCTGAGGGGAGGACCTGACTGTGGAGCTCGCCTGAGTGGAGGTTTTGGACGAAGTAGATGCTGCGCATGTCTGAGGCTGACTTCTGGCCACTGGACGCATCTGGGGTGAAATCTTTGCCATCATGGGACCAGGGCCAGTCTGTAGTGGGTACTTACTGATGGGAACCCTGGGGCGTGGTGAGGCCTTGATTGTGGAGGTCACAGCACACCCTGGGGGCTGTACCCTGGCCGCGGGGACCACAGGCCGCATATGTGGTGCGGTGCTAGAGAATGAAGGATTGGGTCGTACGTGAGCCAGGGGCCTGGTCACCTGGGAAGTCGGGCAGGTTACTGGCTGGTTCTTCATGGCCATTGCTGGGGATGTGGGGCACATCTGCATCTTCATGACCGTTGCTGGGGATGTGGGGCAGGTCTGCATCACACTCTTTGGTGCTGTGGCCACTGTGGCTGGGGGCTTAGGGGCGGAAGCCACTGGACCCGTAGGGGTCTTGTTGACTGGATACGTGTGTGGTGGGGCCTTAGGGACACTTGCTTCAGTGTGGACATGGGTCTGGGTCTTCATGGATCCATGAACGGCCTGGACACATCTCCCCGCTGCTGCCGACTCTGGGGTCCCCAATCTGATGGTCTTGGAAGTCACATGCCTGCTCTTCACACTGTCCCCTTCCAAGTGTCTGATGAGACAGGAGCTCCTGACGGTCTTGGTCAACATGCAGGGTGGATACTTGGGACCCGTGGGTCTGCCGGTCACAGGCTGCTGTGGCAGGAGGCCACCCCTGTGGACTCTGCTGCTGCAGGGACCCGGGGCTGCCGCGGTGTGTGAAGGGACCAGGCTGTCGTTGGATGGGAACTGAGTTTCCTTGCTCACCATGACTGGCGGCTGGTCCTCTGGGGCGTGAAAGCGTACCTGCTGCGGAGGGTGGTAGGGGATGTCGCCCTCCTCTTCCCTCCTTGCTTTCTTTAAGGTCAGCTTGTTGGAGCGCATCAGCCGGCGCGTGCTGAAGCGGCGCCAGGCCTCCTGGATGGCCTTGGCCGCCGTCATCTGCGAGATAAGCTTCTGCCGCAGCCGGTAACCCTTCCAGTTGGCTTGGATGACGGTGGCCGCCCTCGAGACCATCATGTCCATTTCGTCCACCAGGATGTTCTTGAAGGCCTGGCTCTCCACCACGGCGCGAAGGCGCGGCACCTGCTGTGAGGGCGGTGCAGCTGGCTCCTTGGGTGGACAGGACTCACTCTGGGGCTGAGGGTGCGGCTGGGCGGCTTTCTCTGGATGAGCAGGGGTTTGCTGGGGCTGGGAGAGGCACGGCCCACCCGGTGACGCGAGGTGTGGGGCCTGGAGTGGGGGTGCCGGCTGCATCGCTGCCATTCCTGAGCCGAGCGGCAGAGCCTGGGGATGGGGCAGAGGATGGGGTTTGGTGGGGGGAGGTGGACAGACGGACAGGTGGGTGGGTGAGAGTGG